ATTTTGTTATATTTTTCTTGCAAATAAATTTTGCTGTTGTTTTCAAAAGCGACTTTGGTGCACCATTAAACACACAGATGCAAAAGCATCTTCCGACCATTCGACCTGCTGTCGCATTTTGAGCAAAGAAGCTTATGTTTCATTGATGAAAAACAGATTTCTGTCATGCCACTTATTTGCCAAATTTCTCACCATTTGGACCCATAGTTTTCTCTTATGAAAGTAGTTCTGCGGGATCAACGTTTTCATAAGGTTATCCGAAAGGACGCGATGGTTAGTCTACAGCGGATACCAAAAATATCGCTCAGTGTTACGAAAATATATGCTTCAAGGAAGGCTTAAACACGGAAAAATACGCAAATTTACTGCAGTTTTGCAAAGTATTTTGATTTCTATATAGATATGTAAGACAGGAAAAAAATTAGGTTCCACATTAGCCAAATTGCAAGACAAATCTGGACTCTCAATAATAAGACAGACAACAGCAGTGAACTAAAAGGTGTATAGACAGTAAAATTTAAATTGACGATCTTCATTCGCTGTGTTTTACACCCTTGCCTTATATGCCTTCCATAACTGAATCTCAAGAACCGTCATCACTGCCATCATCTCAGATTTGGATTATGAAACTTACCATAGTTAGTGTTAATCTATTTATATTGATCGTATATTTACCACAGCCGGTAACTCATTCTTTCAGTGTTATTTTAAGTTTTAAGCATTGCTTTAGAGGATTTGATAAGGTTGGTTGGTAGCCTAGCAATGGCCACCAATTCCTCATGCAAATTAACTGCTTCTTTTCTTAGCATGATTGTAATAAGAAAATGTAACAGCTATATGTAACTATCAGCAAACTAATTTCAATAATTAAAGATATTTATAAAACTGAAAAAGGTTATGAAATGGAATGGCCCACATCGCTTTACAGAAGTCGTTTTATAGTGTCTCTCTCGTTACCTCACGCATCTTTTTGTATGTTGTGTAAAGTCTGTGAAAGTTGTTTAAAATAAAGCTTTAAAGTAAAGCTGTTTTAAATAAAGGCTTTGTTTTATGATTGCTTGTATTTTATTCACATTAACCTCTATTAATAAGAGGGATCTGTGTGTCTGGTTACCAAAGATTATGTCATCATTATCTGAATTATAATATCTTTTATTTCCTTTATTGTTGTGTAATTTTGAGTAGTCATTTTGGAAGGAAATCTTTACAGGCTTTATTAAATTAATTAAGCCCCTAAATCCAGATAATCTAAAAATACAAAAAGATATTTATAGGTATTAGAACTTTAAAGACATTTTATATGTCTTTTATGATAAAAAGCAACTCACAGGAAAGCTAATTTTAAGTCTTATCTTCACATAACTTTCACTAAATATATCTGAATGAACAATCTGAAACACGCAAAAAGACATTAGGAAATAGAAAAATTTCATGTATCTTTTATGATAAAAAAGACTTTTAAAAATGCTTTCGTGAAAGCTAATTTTAAAAGTTATCTTTACATAGGTTTTGATAAAAACCTAACATCTTTAATAACTTAATAATATAATAAGCTGAAATGATGGTGAGCCGAAAGTTGTCTCGAGAAGCTGGTGGTAGAGGAAGAGGGGTAGGAGTCCCTGCGACGTGCTCACCATCAAAATTGGGGGTGGGGTCGGAACTGAGCAAAGTCGTGCTGCCATCTGTATAGTGGTCAAGATTCTTGCCAACGACAGGCGCAATCTTGAACTCCTTGCCACGATGAATTTCGTGTCTTCTGATGTTACTGTCAGAAAAGTGAGATAAGTCACAACACACAGCAACAGGATTTTTAGATTTTTTTCCCTCCTCCATGAATGATTTTTAACTACTGTGTAAATTTTTTTAGAGAACCCGTATTTATTATTTCCATGTATAATAAAACATCGCTTTATGAGTAACAAAGCTTACGATAAAGAATTTAGTAATTCAGACAAGGAATTTATACCAGAAAACGATATGGAAGATCGTTTCTGTCGGAGAAATTACCCACACAGCATTTCTAAATAGAAACTGTGAAATACATGAATACATAGCATAGTGCGGCTTTACCTCATTGCTGACCCGCTGTAGTACGGTTAGTAATTTGAGTAATAAATTTCACTGTGTACTAATTGTTTCACTGTTCGGAAAGATTTTGCTCCAAAATAATACAGCATAAATGTTCACGCTAAAACGTATTACCGAAATGAATGGCGAACATATGCGCGTTTCGCCGAGAGAAGTGGCAGACCCACAAAGCGAACTTACCCTCGATCTCTACGAATGAATGATCTGATGAAGGGAGGAGTGAAGTGAGTGAAGATATTACGGAAATATGTTTTACCTCATTGCGCTGATGATTTTGGTGGCTTTCATTTTCAGTTGATTACAATCTGAGCAGAAGTCGTGAAACTCGGACGTGATTTAGTCTTTGACTCACTGGATGCTGTTAATGGCATGGACGGTATTTAGGCAGAATCTCAGCCTCTTCATGACAAATCTGTCATCTGCAGAGAAGAAGAACGGTTTTATGAAGAAGAAAGTAAAATTGAAGAAAATGTGCAAATGGGAAAAAAATTTCACAGTAAATAATCTCGAAGAATTATTCAATGCCACTGAAAGAGCATTTGAACTGATTGAAGACAGAGATCCGAATGGGAAAAAAAAAATCCTTGAAACAAGGAGAAAATTAGAAAATGCAATTCTTTGTAATTACATGATGAACGGAGAACAAAAATGGTGAAAAATATTTGACTGATTTTTTTGTTTAAAAAATGTTTTTCTTTTTCATTTTGTAAACAAACAATAAAAATCTTTGGTTAGGTATTCTAATTACTATTTTTCATTAACGTTTTAATTATTTTCCATTAATTTTAAGTAATTATGCAAATATTTTTGTTTTAACAAAATTTAATGGAAACAAATTTCTAATTTTCGTAAAGAAATAATGATTCACTCAGTGCGCATTCATTTAGTGTGGTATTTTAGAATAACCAATTAGTAATACTAAGCTAGGTATTCCTGTAGTCGTTAGGTTAACCTTTTCCGCCGGACACCACTGTTCAGTGGCTGTTCAATGTTGTTTAGAAACTGCGGCATTTCTATCATTGGCACGCCAAAAACCTAACAAAGCATATCAGACCCTAATATCAAAGATAAGCATTGTAGAAACAGAAATGTGATGTAATGCGTGATAATTCTAATTCAAAATTTTATCATGATTTCTGACTGCTTCTTTTTGTATGACTTGTCAAAAGATGGAGGGAAAATGAGCTACGGAATAAGGTGAAATCTCAGGTATGTAGCTGTAAACCAATATGCAGTCTTTTATGATTCTCAGATGTTTATTTATAAATACACTGCTAATTCATTTTCATTTCGAAAAATAATGGTAAATTTTAAATTAAATATTAAATCTAACATTACTAATACTAATAGGAATTTAATTATCCTCCTTACCCCGTGCCTTTAATGTAACTGGAAATACATCCGGTTAGCAATCGGGAGGTGGGGAGTTGGAATCCTGGCGATACAGATTTTTTATGTCTCCTTCTCTGATAAGCTTAATGACTGTCTAAGGTTAGAGTAAGTAGAAGTTGTTATAATAGAGTTTCAGAAAGGAATTACTCATAGTTAGGCAACAATAATAGTGATAGAATGATTTCATATATATATATATAAAAAGACAAATGCATGCTAACTTCTTTCGAGGAAATATGGCTACTTGTATGCAACCCCATCGTGCTCACGAAACCACCCATCGCGTTTGTGTGAAAGTAAAGCAAGATCTTCCCTTGTAAGAACTATAATAAATTTCCTGAATCTTCTCTCCACTGTTAAGTGAAATATAGTTTTCGGTCCTATTTGCACCGTTCTGTTATATTTGTACACAAATATTGTAATAGTATATTTAATTTGAAGTGTATATTTATTTGTAAGAGCGGAAAGGAGGATCCCACTTAATTTGAATCCTTGAACCGTTAAAATCCTTGTTCTTGAGGCGCAGGATACGCAGGGCCTGATTTACACTAGAGCAGACAGTGTATGTGCTTCAAAGCTTTGGGCCATCCTGTAACTTTAAAAAAAACTGATTGTTTGTTAGATTCGACAGAACTATTTAAAGTTCTCTTAAGAAATGTAAGACTGTACTCCTCTTGCTATCAGCAAGGAAACGATCTAGATTAAGTAAAGAAGGAGACCTGCATTATAATGTTTTGGGAGAGCAAATTACTGATCGGCGATGGTTTCATGTATTAAGCAGTTCCGATTAAGAAACAAAATAGCCGATTCTTTAAAAAAGTCTCTGAGAATCTCCTCTTCTGAGATATGTAGTTATTTTCATTCTGGAGGGAAAAGAGAATGAATAAAGATTATAATAAAATTCTCTTGACACGGAAATTTGGATAACAAATGTATCCGAAAAGGAGTCTGTTAAAGATATACTGTGAGAATTTTGTGATTTATTAAATTTACTCCTCTAGGCTAGGCATGACAGTTACATAGCTGTTAGTCCCCGTCATGACACTGAAGCTGAGAAGTATCAGTCTAGACATGAGATAGTGAATCTTGTTTATGGTAAACAGAGTCTAATTCTGTGAATTCGTTCATCCTATCTTTAACTTTCGAATCTAGTTAATGATTTTGCCTCAGGCTTCCTCTCTTTGCTAACGCTTCCTTATTTGAAAATAAAATGGCACCCAGTTTGGCATCTCGTGGGACGCCAAAACGCGAGTTCAAAAATAAAATTTTACAAATCCGTAGCCAGGCAAACGTGAAGCCAGTTTTCTTCTATGTAGGGCAATGATCTAGGAAAAACAAAAAAAAAATAAATAAAAGTGCCTGTTAAAATAATCCCCTTGTAGCAAAAGTGAATTAGGAAAATCGAGTATTATTTAAGGTCAGTGTTACTCTCTCCCGATTGGTGAGTTTCAAAAAACACTGCCCTAACAAAAGTGAGCGTTCTGTGACGTCACAAGTCAAGGTTGACAGATTTTCCGCGGTTCGAGCCTACTAGTACTCCCTGCGTATGCGTGATTCTCTTATATTCTCTAAGACATCCTTCGGAAGAGCATAACAAAATCAGTTTTTTTTTACTAAATTGGATTTGGAAGTAGCGAAGATGATCTTCACTTTCAGAACTGTTGCTTTCATAGCTGGTAAGTTCTGTTTTCGCATTCTTGGATTTTATCATGGAATACACTCCGTTTCTGACTTTGATTCAAGTCGAGTTTTAAATTCAACTAGCTTATTCTAGGATCATATCAGATATTAGTGTCATCCCTCTGCGACTGATGTAACACTGATTTTTTTTAAATTTGGATTCTTTGTCTTTGATGCTATAAAATTTTTTCAAACTGACCCTCTAGGTGAAACTCTAGGTTAAATAAATCTGCCTAGTTCTGAAAATAAGTTTGCTGCATGTAAAAAACACATTTAACATGCAGTTAAAAATGTATGAACTTAACCGGTTTAGAGCGTTTGTGCATACTTATACTGCACGTCTAAATTTTCCATTGTGTGCCATAAGAATCCTTCCATCTTTTTTTTTTCCTTTTGAGGCGGCAAAACATTTTGTGAAAACATCGCATAAATACATTTCTTCAAAGCGCATTCATCATTCTTCCAAATTTTGCTATAAATGTTTAAGAGATGTGAGAAACTAAGGTATCTAATTTGTATTTTATAATGGTTATCATTTATCATGGTTAATTTAAAATATTATCTTCATTCTGACTCACCAACGAAGAAACTGTTCTTCTTAAACTATTGAGACCTTCGTTTACCTTCTCTGTAAAACGGATAATTTAGATTAATTTCTCATGCCTATATTATAAATTAAAGCTTCATTAGAAATGAAAAAATCATAGCAGAATGAAAGGTGTTAAACTAAAATGAAAGTTTATGAAAATCAGGGTATTGCTAAACGAAAACCGTTGAAACAATATATTGTATTATCCTAATTATAAAAGATTTGTTTTTCCTTCTGCGTGCACTCTTTATGCTTTTTGCTGTTTACGAATAGCTTGATAATTATTTAAAAATATGCTAAGTTAGCTATTACTCAACTCTATAATTAAAAGACAAAATACTTAATTATATCTCAAAGTATGGTGTTTAAATCCTTTAATTATCTTTCTTGATTAATGTTTCTTTTTAGCAAGCTCATGCTGTGCATGATATGTTAATTGCAAGCACTTTTACCTGTAAAGCAATTAAAAATGCAAGTTTATCTTGTAATATGTTGTTTTGCAAAGTCCATATATGAGGCTCGTACTAAAATGCAAATGTAATATATAACTTTTGCATGAGCAAATGATTAAAATAAAATGAAACTGTAAGATATAAACTGTTACCTAAAGCTTTTTGCTGACAAAAATATTTATAAGAAATACATTCTTGCAGATATGCAGGAAAAAGATATAACCGAATAATTTATAAATGTTATAAAGAATATAGCAAATTTAATCAGAATTTTGTATTTATAATTATTTACATAAATTATTAATTTTTACTCTTGAGCTTGAACCATTAATAACTGAAAGTATGGCTTCCTCTGAGAATATTTTAATGGACTCTTTGAAGAAAACATGAACCTAGCGAATTCCTTTCGTATGTGCGATAAGTCTTAGATCAAATTAGAAATATTTAAGGATTTTGGCGGGATGTTTCAACACAGCTCTTTATATAACAAATAAAAAAATTACTAATTAAAGAAAATTTTTAAAATGTTACTTCAGTTGTCATTAATTATTCAAGAGCTAATTCAGAGAATCATTAATTATTCAAGAGCTAATTCATAGAATACTAAATTTACATTTCCTGCGGTATTTCTAATTACATAATGTTTGTCTTACTACTGTTTTTTCTGCCCTAATGTAAAATTATGATTCCCAAAAGGATGAAAAATAGAACGAATCCAATGTTTTAAGTCTATATAAAACAGGAGAAATAAAATATTACGAAGATAGTAAGAGTCTTCAAAAGGGGGGAAGAAATAGATCTGTTAGGATTTAGAGACGTTATTTACAAGTTATTACTTGAATAACGTTACATGCGAAGATAACTATGAAAACATCCCATATGTTTTCATTTCATGATTAGTGTTTAAAACAAATTCTAAAACAAAATGTGTTTTATGGAAAGTGAAATCCAGCTCTAAAAGAACACTTTTAGATAGAACTAAAAGAACACTTTTAGTGAATCCAGCTCTAAAAGAACACTTTTAGTGAAAGAACACTAAAAGTGTTCTTTTAGAGCTGGATTTCGCTATCCTAAAAGTAATTGCCATTATGCAATTTTCACACGTAACATACTTTAATGAAGTAAAATCTTTAAGCTCTACAGATGATGCAGAACTAATTTGAATTTATCCTTGAATGGATCCATTTACTTTCAGGAAGTAAGTAAATAAAATGACGCTGGTAAGTAGAAGTATAAAAGGAAAAAAAAAAAGACTTTCGGGAAGTATTTTTAGCTTTAAAACATGTATAAGCAGTCATATTAAAATACAGATAAACAATCATATTGTAGCTCACAGATATTAAGGTGAAAGAAGGAAAATGGTTTCTAATTCTTGTGTTTACTCACTTACCTGGAGAATGGAGAGTTGGTTTGCTAATTATGGGAAAGTATGTAGAATATCTAAATGACGGATATAAAAGGAAGTTATCTCATCATAGCTTTAGGGCTCTCATGTTAAGACATGGCTATGTTTACTAAATTAAAAAATTTAATTAATAATTTAGGGGCTGTTTGAGGTGCTTAACTCTTGGGGATTTCGACCTGCACGACTTCATGTATCCCCTTCTGAAAAAAATTAAAGATGTTAAATATATTAATCTCAGTGCCTTTCAACTGGGAATATAAAGTTTAAAATAAAATTAAATGCTTTTAGAATTAAACGAACATATATCTCACAATAAAATTTGAGGTAACAGCAAATGAAAAATGTTTGATGCGGACACCACATGGCTTCCTTGTACGGCCTATAAAATTATATGCAGTTTTGCTGCACTTCATTTAAACTTATTTATTGAATTTCATTAATGATATATTTCTCATTCATTAAATTCAGTTCTCATGTCGCGGCAAGGCAAAAACACATAAAAACTCAAAACATCTTCATTAAAAATTGTAAAAGATTTAAAAAAAAAAAAAAAAAAAAAAAAAAAAAATTAAAACACCAAATACAGTTAGAAACAGGTAAAAGAAAAAAAAAAATAACTTTTACAATTAACATTAAAGGTTTGTGCGTAAAAGGAAACAATTCGACCAGCGTGCAGGAAGACAGATTTTTCGGTGCACAAAATTGTTTAAAAAAGTTTTCTTTTCGTCCCACTGGGCAAAAAGAGACAATGTATTATAATTATAAGAAGTTGGTGCGGAAAATGACTTAATTCATTATTCTACTAAAAGTTTCAAATGCAAACAAATTGAGTCCCTGTTAGGCTTAGAACCACTTAAACAACTTTTAAATTGTTGATAACTCTACAACTACTACATGCAGATTAACTGAAGGCATAAAAACCTTAACCGTAACATAAGAGCAACATAATTCAATCACTTTTAAAGCAAAAAAGATTCACAACTTACCAACATATAAGAATAAAAAAACTGAGCTCACCGAGTCAAATTACAGAGTGGGTATATATATATGTCACAAAAAATCTCTTCTAAATCCATTTTACAATCCGTTTTGGTGTCCTTTATTCTGTCGGTATAGATGTCACGTAAACACATCGTTTCTATGGATTCGAGGGCGGTCAAAATGGATATTTTCGTTGAAATATGATACCCGAAACTTTTCGCAATTACAATACGCCCTTTAGTTTGTAGAAGAAAATAAAAATATGAGGTAAATATAAGTATAGAATATATATTTTTCCCAACCAATACGTAAAGCTTATAGGCTTGAACTTTGCATCTGCAAAATGCATTTGCTATGAAATTCTTCAGTTTTTCTCAAATTCCTCAGCTAACTGAATTTATTTAGTAGACTATAAAGATATTAAAAGTGAGAGAAGGAATCAAAAATAACACTCTTGAGGACGTATACTGCTTGTGAGATATCATGTGAACGTGGAATAATGCTTATTGGACAAATGCGATTAGAGGGGGAGATTAAGATTTCAAGATAACTTTGACTAGAGATTTGCGCAATTATTCTAACTTGGAAGTAAACTGTTGCCGAATATGAACTAAGTAAAGGAAGTTAAGTAAGATTTTGAAGCCGATGAATGGCTGGTAGATAATTTGATTCTCAATGCTAAGTTTACTTTGAAACATCCGATAAACTGCAAAAGAAAATTTAATTAAACCTACAGTATAAAGAAGTTTCCAAAGTCTGGTTTCGCACAATACATGAGACATATATACAATTCATACAATATGTACATTGTTTCGTACAATTTCCTATGAGAGATTAGAATGGTTCTGATTTCCTGGGGGAGCTACTAAATCCCAGATTCTTAAAATATGGTTAGAAATATCGTTTGTTGAACCACTGCTTTTGTATAAATTTTTACCTTGCAGCAGATAATAAGAACATGATGCCAGGAATAGAGTCTGATTACCGATTAATTAGAGTTTCACCGGTTCCGCATCTTGAGCCCGAAAGTCATGATATAACTGCTTATAATGCTTATAACCCTGCTTTTCTTTCGCGAGAACTAGTAGAGTAAGCATTGGGGATTCTGATAGAACGATGTTGCGCAACGAGTATCTTAATCTTTTCTTGACCAGAAATATATGAAAAGGAAATATATTAACTTCTAAAAGATATTTTAATCTAACCTAGGTAACTAGGTTGTTCTATGATCATTTGAGAAGAATTCTTAAAATTTTTGTTTAAAAATGCTTCTGAACACCTACGGTATAATATTTCCACAAATTAGACATAAACAGACACATCAACAGTGTTATTCTTGCGGATATAAAATTTGTTATATTCTCCAATACTAATAATATCTAACATGATCTGCTTTGACGTCACCGCATTTACCTCTGGTTATTGCAATTACAACATATTCAGTAAGTTTCCATTTGCTGTCTTTTTCTTCTGTTTAATGGAGCCACTCTCCCCACCTCCAGACTGGTTATATGTAATCATATGTAATAGAACTCGAATATATTCTGTCTATTAATTATGTAGGTAAATTCATTTGGGCGATTTATTATTGAATGTAAAAAGCAAGCAAGTAAATTAATGTTGTTTGCTCTCTGGAGATAAAGCGGTTAAATAAATACTTTTAAAGGGACTGATTATTGTAGAAAATCGAAAAACCTTTGTAATCTAGAACACTGTTTTCCTGAAAAAGTTGTTTAAAGCAGAAATTACCGATGTCAACGACTTGCCAATATGAATCTTACGAATTAAAACACGCTGCGGCGTTATTAGTTTCCACTGGTCTGAACCGGCTGCAGCTTTTGCTGTATTAAAAGCATAACTGAGGCTATGAAATAGTCCAAACATTACAGTATCTCAAACAGGATTATATGACCATTGATGTCATGCTTAGAAGTCAATAGCTTGCATCCATTGTACGAACGAATTATATTGTGAAACTATTATATTACTATGATGGAAGATGGATAAAGAATAAAAAAGAAATTCTTGTTAGTTCTTAAGAGGATATGTGTTATGAAACTTTAGTTTAACCGAGGAAGTGTGCCACATGTTGTAATCGACTATTATACAGAACAATACAAGTATATTGAAATCGATCATTCTGTGGAAGAATTAGCAAAACAACAATAACAGAAAATAGAAATAGAAAATAATCTTTTTAGACTGAACAGTGAATTTGAAACCTCTGATTGCAATTCGTATTTTCTTTTCTTATTTATCTATTCTTGCGAACAGCCAGGGACCGCATCGAAGCTGAAAAATTGTGCTGTTTTCTAAATAATAAAGCCATCAAAGTAATTTTTTTGGGTACTTTTGGTCTTATTTCGTTGCCAATGTCCTGTCAAAGAGGAATTTGTGAAAAAATTTCCTTCTAAAACCACAGGCATTTCATTTAATTACGATGAGCATCAGTGATTTGAAATTTAGCAATCAAAACTGTAAGACACTTTCTTGCTTGATCAATCAACTGTTGCCATTTTGATATGTGAAAATGTTGTATAATCCATTTCTGTCAACAACCATAATTCGTGAGAAAATAATCATCTTTAAGGGCTTTTGAGATTTTAGTGTGCAGTAAAAAGTACTTTCCTTCAACTTTATTTATGCCGTACCACAAAATGCGCAACCAGAATTGTTTCAGCTGTATCTCCACGCTGTATTTCCCGTATTTTTTTGACTTTGTGATGTATTGCATGATGAGAAGGGGATTTTATTCATTTTCAAAACATGGCCTGCTTTTGGAAAGTTGTGCAGTACTTTAGTTTATTCGAATTAAATATGTGTATTTTCAATAGTCTTTGCTAATCTTAGAGTCTATATTATTTCCAGAACGAAGCGCCTTGCATCATTAATTTTTAATGATTATTTTTTATTTCTTATCCATTATCAGTTTCGAATTTTAAACGAAGACTTAGACAAGTGAAATCCTATTACAATTACTAGTGTTGATGGAATAAAATACTTGGGAAGTAAGAATAACTACATTGAGGTCTTCTATCTTCCCAGTCATTTTATTTACCTCCTTCCTAGTTGTGGTTCTTAACTTCTGAGCCTGATCTCAAGACCTTTCAGCTTACCATTTGCTCTATCTGTTGGTGCTCATAGGTCGATACAGTAAGTCCAACGACGAACGCACGCTGCTACACTCACAATTGTCTCAGTGTTAATTTATAATAGCGTAATGCACTGTTTGTGTTAATATCTTTGTCACAGCTTTCTTTGAAACCTTCTTTCCTATGATAATTTTATAAGCCCTTTCTCTGTCACAACAAAACTGCTGCTTATTTAAATTAATTAATGCATTTTCTGGCTTTTGCACAAGATGTGCGGGCCGAACTTATATATGCATAGTTTATCTCGTAGCACTCTTCGAAATTTAAAGTTTTCTTGCATGCTTATGTAATTCTAATTTCACATACACTCATCTAATTGTAAGTACATTACGAAAGAATACCTTTCTTGAAATAAGTCTTGCTTAAATCTGAGTAATTAAGTAATATGAATTCTGTATTGTATTACTTAATTAGCAGTAGCTCAATTATCTAGTGTGCCTATTATGTTGAAAAACACGTTTATTTTTTAATCAAATTGCATAGTTTTGACCACTATAAAAACATTTATCTAGAGTTCTTTTCCTATCAAGTGTTCGTATCAGAATAATTTTTGTTTATCTGGTAGGAACATGCATGAACGTTGTCCTGTAGCAGGCGAAAACGAATTACATAAATTTGTACATTTCATATTCCTTTTTTTTTATTAAGACAATGTTTGAGCAACAGCGTTATGCTAAGGTAATCTTTAAACTATTCCTCTGCGATACCATTAACTACATTTTCAGAAGTGGAACACAGTATTTCATCAAAATTCCTATCGATTTCATCAAAATTTAATATTAAAAATATTCATCTCAAATAAATTTATGCTTTGATTGAGAATAAGGTGAAATGTCACATCCGATTCTCACCAGATTTGAAATGCATCTTCGCCCAGTGTTACCGTTGTCACTTTAACAACGGTCAAAAAAATAAAAATTTAAAATAGCAGATAAATCCAGTGGCTTATGGTATGAATCTTCTTCTCTGAATGAATCTGTTGTGTACTTATGTTTGCTAGCTCTATCATAAAATCGTCAATGGAAGGGAACAAATGCAGATTATACGCCTTGTCAGCTATGATTCATAGTCTGGTCGGTACCTTTATGACCCACGCCAAGACAATACAGTATACTTAATAAACACTCGCATCATTTCCCTAATAACTTTTTAAAAATAATAGAAATTGTTATAAGAATTGTTTTGAAGACTGTGTTTGCTGTTTTATGAATCGGAAGAAATAATATATTCACCATTTCATTCTAGAATTATACATGAACTCATTGTTTTGAAACTAGACTCTGCATCCTCAAACGAAGTATTTATTCTCGAACGAAATACGTATGTATATGCACACAGTTGGTGTCCGTACGTTTACATGTGTATTTTCACGTTTGTACAGCAGAAGTCAAAATAATAATTAGAAACGATGCATTATCAGTTTAATTATGTAGTTAAATATTGATTTACATTAAATCTACATTAAATATTGAGTTCAATTTATAAGTTAATGTGATTTTTTCAATCATGGAAAATAACTTTATTCATTAGAAAAAAAGTGATAATAATTATTCCATTGCTATGAGAAATATTTTAAGATATTAAGGTGGAGTTTTTGACTTGTGGAAAAGTGTTATGTATCATTTAGAGGTTTGGCAGCAGTTTCTATAGGCGTTACGTATATATTATCCAAGTACTTCCTTTCCCTTTTCATTATAATATATGGCAAAACATAATCCTAACTAATTGGATACGTTCCATGACCATCACATTCGGCTGACATAATCCCTTTTGAAGCCAGCCCTAATGACTGCAGAAACGGAGATTGATTATTTATCTCTAAAGTGTAGCTGGTATTGAAAAGTATACAATACAACTTATAAATACCCCCATTATATATAATGGGGTATTTATAAGTCTCGTACCTTTGGTTTCTAATTAATGTAATGATGATTATGAATGTTTCAATGGTTGTAAATTTTTAATGTTAAATATTTAAAGGGTGAACAATGATGATCATTACAGTATAGAATGATGTAATGTATGTTTCAATTACTGTTCGTATAATTAAGTATACGGATAGATGTCACTGTTCTGTGTATCACTAATCAAGGTCTTACTTTTGCTGTTTTCTTGCCGATAACACTTTGTGTGTTAATAACAGTGTTTGTTACTCTTTGGGGCCCTTACACGCTATTTTGCGATTTATCTATGCCTAAAAAACTTTAATATTCGCCTGTTTTTGTAAACAATAATGTACAATGTGTAGGAAATATCTTTTAACAAACCACAACTCAGTGTTAATGCTTAGTAACAAAAGAAAAAAGTATTTCATATTTCTAGTCTGATTTGGATAACAGTGGCGATAAGGACTCAGATGAAATTTAAACAGTGCTCTTATGTCAAAGAGAATGCGCACGTTAATAAATGGGAATTTTGTCTGCAACATATTCCGTCAACTTTCATTTTCTTATCTACAATACGAATAAATTTGTTCTTTAGTTTCCACGTGAACTTGATATGCATATTGCATTAAAATAGCCTAGTCTTTTATCAGGTAAAAAGTAATTATATTTTTTACCGTTTATTACTCTTGTAACGTTTATTGTTTACATAATAATAAGGCAAATTCTTGCTTTCATCATTATTAAATGTGTTTCTTAGTTAATACCACTACCGGATTTTAATGCTAAGTACGACTTGGTACCTTTCTTGTAAGCTTTATTAAATACACTTTTTTCCTATGTTACATGTATTAATAAAAACACTAAATTAGTGGGACGTTTTCATTTTAACTGTAAATTAAAAATGTAATTTTAATAATTAATTAAAAAATTTTAACAGGTCTTATAGGCTTAGCGTTGGGTCAGCAGCAACAGCAACAACAACGACGACAGCAACAGCAGCAATGCAACGTCGAAGAATGTCTTATTAAGCTGAGAGATCCCGATCCAGTGAAGGAAGGCGATATCAAAATATTTTGCGCGTGAGTGTACTTATTTCAAAATTAATAAAAGAGTGAGGAGAATATTTTTCGAACAGTTTTTGCACAAGTGTTCCACAAGTTCAGCATCAAGGTAGTTCTGATTACCAGTTTTCAGGATTTGGTCACTGTCAGAACTTCAACGATTAATTGTCTTACTGCCATTATGTGACATTACTTGACATTTATGTGTGAGCACAGTTGTCGCTCTCCCCAACCAAGTCTCAACCGAGATTACTGTTTCCCAATTCACAGAAAACAGAATTTGTCAATTGTTATAGTGATCAAATTGTTATCGAGTTTGTATCATTAGAAAGGCAGTAGCAACTAACTGTATTTTGACGTCATTAACTGAAAAATTCAGTTGAACAAATTCTGTAAATGTCTACGTGACTTTGAACTTTATGGAACATTTTGCAAATCTGTCTGTTTTATCTTTCTGTGTTATAAAATCTTAATTTGTAAGGTGGTTAAGTTGTTTTCGAAGCATTCGTTGATAGGAAAATTTATTGATGTTATTTAATGAAATTATGCTAAACTTATCTTTGAAGTAGCATAGTTATTGCCGCGCTAGTGACACTTAATAACTGTATGTTGAATTCCGTAGCTTCCAAAATATGTCTTCAAATTTCAAGGAAGTCATAGAATTGTCAACGGTACTTTAAACTATATATGCTGCGGAACGGCCATTTTAGCCGGTTATGCAGATATCTGAATTCGAAATTAAAAAACTGTTCTAGTTAAAGAAAAAGATAAGGACACTTAAATTACAAAATCTTTATTATTATTATTATTATTATTATTATTACTATTATTATACATTTTAAATTAACCTGATGAACATTTGCCCTCGTTAGGAAGAACGCCCTCGTTAGTAAGTACGTTATTGATTGAGAAGTAAAGATCTTGACTTATTTATCAAAGTTTATAAATGGAGTAAAATATTAAGTATAAGATGAATTTTCCCCCCTCAAATGTAGGTCTCTAGAGGAAAATAGGCGTTTTAATTTAAAATAGTTGCTAAATACAGGTTAATAGGGGAACATAGTTTTCATACCATTTGCTAAGATGGCACTTTCACTCCGAATGACTTCAGATCGGATGGAAGCCATCCCAGCTGTTATACAGTGTAACAGTTATAAACCATTGATATTGCTTTGTTTTCACTTGCTTCCTTATTTATCATTATAACTAAGATTAACTACTACTAAGAACAGAATAAAACTTGATACTGTAATGGCTTGAAAATATAAATTTAACTAAAAACAGCATTTTATTCTTTATAATAAATATTTCGCATAACATCACTAAATGTTACCAAGATTTTTGCCTTTCCTGCAATGATCGGCTAACCTAATTCATGTAGGTGAAAAAAGAATTATTTAAAAAATTGATGGTACGTATTCACTTCACTCGTATTATAGAATACCTAAATATCGGTTTATTGATTCCCTATGTCTTCCGTACCCTCTCATTAATCATGAAAGACACTTTATCATTTTAGTCGTACTGCTGAAGGACTAGCCTGTTTGGATAGATGTCTCGACTCGCCCATCTATCAAGCTACCAGCCCAGTCGTCATGGGAGGTGTGAAGCAGTTGCTTTCTGAAATTTGCGCTCCTGGATCCAGCTTAGGAAAACGTAAGCAATATACTTTATTTGTTTTAAAATTAAACAAAAGCAGCATTTGTTTCACGAATAATAGTAGTATTTCTTCAATCAGTTGTGAAACGCTGGAGAATATTTTTTATCCCTCATTAGAATCATGTATGATAAATTATTGTACCTTTATTATTGCACAAATGAAAACTCCATTTTGCAGAAAACAGCTGCTTAAGAATAAAGTAAGGTTCCGAATAAGGCGGGATAATATCGAAAACGACGTCCGTGCTTAACCCAAATTTGTCGACACAATTAACACCGGAAATGAGGATAACCTACATTATAATTAACAGAAAAGTACTGTTAACGATTTATCCGTATTTTTAAAAATTTGTTTGGTTACATAAATTTATATAAAATATAAATACTCAAAACTTAAAAAACGCACTTTAAAACAGAAAAAGCACTGTTTTATTCATATTTTTCTTATTGTTCAATGGTAGTCAATAGAAAACAGAAAATTAATTACTATACACTATGATTTAGCAGTTTATTTTTAATAGAAAATTTTTTTAAATTTTATATATTCTATATTACGTGCAATGTGCAATTACGTTATGAATTATTGTGTATAAAAACATTTCCTAAATATTATGATATTATTTGCTATTACTACTATTATCTCATTCATTTTTTCTCTTTTTTGTTCTTTTCGTTGAACTTTTACTTTATTTTGGTGGTTTGTGATAGCAATTTTCCATTGTTCTACAGTAAACAAACTTAAATGTTTTTAAACAAGGTCCGGTAATCTCCAACCCTGTTTATTCGCCTCTGTTAATCGATAATTAACCGTATAACTCAATTTCGAAGGCAAGTTTAGTTTCATTGCTAAGTTTTATTCAATTTATTTCCAGTAATTAAGTTACAGGTGTCCGAACAGTTCCGATCTGCCATCTGAAAGCTGAATTAAGATGGTCACATATATTATAAATTTCCATAATGCATGTCATATAAAGTCTTAATTAAAGAACACAGTATTTAAGAAAGAAGTTTCAGTGACATTCAAAAATATTCATTTTGTTTATCAACGGAAGGATTGTTTTTCTTAAAACATATACTTTATTCAATAATCTCAGACGGTACACTTTTTCTTTTCACCCAAAGTAGAGAATAATTCATGATTCAGAAGATTTATTGTATACAAAAAGTCAATAATTCTGAATTATCTATATCAAGGTATTAACATTTTTTACAAGATTCTGTAAGATTAAAACATTTTAAGACTTATTAAATAATATTAATAATAAGAACTTTTAAATAAGAACTTGTTAAAAATCAAAGCTTTCAATTAAGCAGCAATCTTAATCAAAAGTTCTTAAGACAACCTTTTGTTCCATATATTTTATTTACAGATCAGAGTTATTTTGTTTGTTTGGTAGTGTAGTTACCTCTCAATCTTATTAATGTTATTTTTTTAAATAACATTAATAAGATAGAGAGGTAGTCACGCGTTGTTCTAAATTTCTTTATAGGTTACATGCAAGAATCTAAATGTTTGAACCATCAGAACACCACAGTTATGGATTGTGCCACATCTATGATTGAAAAATATCCATCTCTCATTCAGAGACCAGACCCCGAATCCATCATCCGAGTATTCTGCTGGTGAGTATTAATACGTGTTATATACCGTGTATATATGTACGTTTTTCGAAAAAATATCGATAGAGATATTCCCTACTTAAAAAAATTATTTTTACATCTGTTCGCTTTTACGAAAGACTCAAATTAGTATTTAATTTGGAAAACCCGTATGCATTCGGGAAAGAAAAGGATTTTTTTTTGTGTTTACAAAGAAGAGGAGAAACGAAAAATGAAAACAGGTTCACCTTTTCCTTTGTTCATTATTTTCAGAAAAGTATGAAATTGGGATTAGAATTCAGAAATTTGAATTCAGAAAGTATGAATTTGAATTTATCTAGTTTTGAAAAAAGATTTGGGCAAGTTTTCATAATATTTTCACTTTCTAAAAGCATATATTATAGAAAAAAGTTCAATATTAGTACAAACTTTCATATTTAACATCAGCCAAAACAGACAATAAATTTCTGTCTTTTAAGCCAGGTAGGCACAAAAGAATTTGCAGACGTCAGCGGCTTGACTGCTGTAACGGATTCAAACCATGATACCGGATATTAAGGGATTATCATCACCGTTTCTCTTCTACAGTCTTAATTCACTGTACCTTCCACCAAAATAAGTTCTGAAGACTTGATATTATACATAATCACTGTTATCCACAATCTCTCACTCTTCCAGCATGCTTATAGTCATTCTGATTCTAGAAAATGTAATTACAGTTTATTTTTTAATTTTTTAAAAGCAGAGTTTCTACGCAGAGTAATTCTGTTTCGCACAGGCTGTGTTTATATCCTATTATGCTTACTTTTGTTGTAAGTTATGGATTAGATTTTATTGTTATTTGCTGTACTTTGATGGAATAGCTCCGGAGCATAAAACCTCTGTAATGTTTTCCCTGGAATTAACGGCTACACTTGTTCACCTCAGCCATTCTGTGATACGGAAAGTTATCTAACTAAGATCTACAGAGGTTAAATCTCTACAGTAGAAAAAGTTTCAGAGAAGTGTCTCTGCAACAGAAAAAGCCTTCAAAACTTTCTGTGTGTGCTTTGTTAGCGTGTTTACTTTTATTGAAGAATCTGAATAACTTAAAAGAATTAAATTGATTTTTAATAGGGATATTTCAGGGAGTTGATGAAACACATTTGCTAATTAATAAATAATTAGACCTCAATTTTTTCTGATTGTTTCTACCTTAAATGATTATTTCAATTCAATATTATTAAGTCAAAAAATTAATTTATTGCAGATGAAACATTTATAAATTTGTTTTTATTTAAGGTATATATTTAATAATACATGAAGCATTTTAATTCAAATCATATAATTGTTCTTTATTGTTAAGGATATTTACAATGCTAATTGTTCGTACGTCCTTGACGAAATTTTGTATTTGATTTTTTGGTGTGTATTATTATATCCGTATATATTAAACATTTGAAATAAATTCTGATTTACACCAATGTAACTTTGTAGCTCAATCGACAGAACTGAAGAATGTATCATTGAAAAGGTACACAAAGATTGTGGCAGAGGCGCAGCAAAACTTGTCAATGAAATGATGAACAAAGCTTTCTATCCTATCAACCAAGTCATCTGTTACTTCAATGATCCATCGCAATGTCCGCAATTCTAATCAGATTACTTCATCATTTCACTTAATAGCACTATAAAATTTCTTTTTTTCAAAGTATTTGAGTCAGTTTTAATACGTAAATCTATTGCGAATCTCAGTTTCTTTGTCATTTCCTTCAGAGATGATGTATGATAGCTTTAAATGCACTTGAAAATACCTTGTTTTTTAGCAAACACATTAATGTAACAAGACTATGTAATAGAGATGGAAAAGAACTTTCATTTTCATGCATTCATCACTTTAAAAGTCCATTCGTGTATACATTATGTGTATTTTTGTAAATAGTCTGAGATGGGTGGTTAAAATATAGTCACGTTTAGGTTTTGCATTTAGTATATTGTACATAGAATTGTTTAGCATATTATTATCTTTTAGGAATTAATTCCATTTTTTTTTAATTGTGCACTGTAAAAAAATGGCAGTTTGTGTAAAATTTTTAACTTGCATAAGCAAGTACAAATTGTCTTAAGCTATATTAACTAAGAATTTTAAATTAATTAAATTAATTGGATTATGATTAAAATTATTCAAAATGAAAAACATTTTGCAAAACAATACCTTTTAAAAATTACCTATAATGCAATATTTTTAGATGTTGTAATATAGTTTTCCACATTCTGCCTTTTGTATGAACTTGATTGTTGTATCAAACTTCTGTAAATATTAACATAAAAGAATAATAAAAATATTTCGAGACAATTTTCTTTATGTGAATTTCTTATATAATAGCTGCAACATATTATATTATAAGAGTGAGATATATCCCCAGTTAGTGACGCACACAGTTAAGATAACTACAAAAAAATTTTTTAAAAAGCTACAATATTTTAACGTACCATTATTTTTTTCGAAGAAAGCAAGTACTGCAGCTTAAATGCTGAATACTATTATTTATCGTTAAAGGAAATCTTAATATTTATTCATGCTGAATGAGCAAACTATCTCTAAGTATCCCTGGAAATCTTAATATTGATAATAAGCCAGTAATAGGAAACGTTCAAGCATATATTGATATTTGTGCCGCCTAGACGGTATAGCGGTTAGGGGAGGTAAAAAAAACGCTGAGTTGGCTCCGACCCAGGTATAGATATATCCATGCAGAATTGGTTACCAACTCGGCGGGAGTCAACCACTAGCTACCAGGCCGCAGCCCTGGGCAGCCCCGGCTAAGCAGACAACATTTATAAAATGAATATACAAACTTACATACATAGATATTCCGAAACAAATAGAAGTATACATACTCTCACTCATTGATATCATACACCCATACATATATGGTTTTATCATGATAGTTAAAAGTATACATGAAGCATGCCATTGAGGTACACGTGATCCTTAGTATAAATTAGGTACCATAAATAAAAGATATAAACATGTACAGATACATTACAGCATTCAGATACAGTAAGAACTTTATGTATGAGAACCTGGCACAGCGTAAATACAAAATTACGTATTGAACATACATATCACATATTCTGTTGCTGACATATTGAAATAGCTTATATAGACTTTTATGACTACGATCTTCCAGTGTCAGAAGAGTAATTGCTAGTGCAGTAGTCAATTATTGTTTTCAGTTTCCGCTGGGCAACTCTGTTACTTTGTAGATTCTGGAACCAATAGTGGTTAGTGGTTAGGGGAGGTAAACCGCTGAGTTGGCTTCCTACCCAGGTATAGACATATCCATGCAGAAATGGTTACCAACTCGGCGGGAGTCAACCACTAGCTACCAGGCCGCAGTCCTGGGCATAAAATGCAAAAAAGAGATATACATATGCATACAAGGCACTTGAGTACAACAATGTACAAAGAAATATATACATGTGCATACAAGGCACTTGAAGAAGAGTACAACAATGTACAAAGAAATATATACATGTGCATACAAGGCACTTGAAGAAGAGTGCAACAATGTACAAAGAAATATATACATGTGCATACAAGGCACTTGAAGAAGAGTACAACAATGTACAAAGAAATATATACATGTGCATACAAGGCACTTGAAGAAGAGTACAATAAAAATATATGTATATACATAGAAATACAAACTCATATACAGGTATATACAAACTTACATACATAGATATTCCGAAACAAATAGAAGTATACATACTCTCATATTGATATATACAGCCATACATATACGTTATCATGATAGTTAAAGTTTACAAGAAGCATGACATTGAGGTACGCGTGATCCTTAGTATAAATTAGGTACCATAAATAAAAGATATAAACATGTACAGATACAGTACAACATTCAGGTACAGTACAAACTTTGTGTATGAAAACCTGGCATAGCATAAATACAAAATTACATATTGAACATACATACTCTGTTGCTGACACATTGAACTAGCTTATATATTTCTAACGTGCATACTGCTAGGCTTTGCAGAGCAATTATTCTGTTTTCAGGTTAATAAATGTCCCATTTCAAGAAGAGTTAATGCCATACTGAAGGTGCGATGTCTATTTCTAAGAGAACATTGCTTAGAAATGGCATTGTTAGAACCTAATGTGTGTTAGATACGACTCAAGTATGTACTATATGGCTACTATCTTCCAGCGTCAGAAGAGTAATTGCTAGTACAGTAGTCAATTATTGTTTTCAGTTTCTGCTGGGCAACTCTGTTACTTTGTAGATTCTGGAACCAATTTGGCCAGAATCTGGCTCCTGGTAGCTTGAGGCTGTTAAGTGCTGTGTGTGGGCAGAAGAACACAAAATGATCTGGATGACCCTCCTCCCCACATTCGCAGTTACCATTCTCTCTAAAGCCAAAGCGGCAGAGGTATGAAGGAAAAGGCCCATGACCAGTGAGGAACTACGTCATGTAATTGCTATTAGTTTGGATTGTTGTCTTGACCTTGGGAATGAGGTTGTAAACACGTCTCCCTGTGGAGGCTTGATCCCAACGTTCTTGCCATATTCTTAGGAGCTGATGGAATGTCCGACTCTTTAGGTCCGAGACTGGTCTAAGGGTCGAGTGGTTAGGGGAGCCTGACTGCTATACCAAAGGGCATGGGTTCGAATCCCGGAGAAGGCATGGATGTAAAAATATCTATCCCTTCATATGAGGTAACGGTGGCCGCCTATTAGGTGCCTCCATAATAAAATGGTCACCGCTTCTGGCCTTAGTAGTGGCCAATGCCGTTATAGGCAAGTGTACGCCATTTGAAAAAAAAAAATGATATTTGTGCTTCTGTCCTTCAAACATCACACATTCCGTCAAATCATTTATTGGAAAAGATCCCAGGGATTTCTTTTTAAAAGAACACGCAAATAGAAATAGAAATAAATCATGGTTTAGACAGATTTTTAAAGTACTCGAATGGCCTAGAAAGAAATCGTTGCAATGGTCCGTCTTATATCTGGCCTTCGTAAGTACCTCCAATGTATCAATGCTGCTTTTAACTCTCATTGCACCTTGTGCAACCTTAAGAAAGATATGGACTTGCCACATCTCCTCAAATGCCCTGCTATTCCTCCTATTGTGATTTGGGAGCGTATTGCGTGGCGAGCAATGCCCTTAGTTTAAACATATACTCATTTCAGTTTTCTTGTCATATACTCATTTGTATTTTATTTGATGTTCAGTTGTCTTGTAACGTGCCATTGGTAATAAAAAATTACTGATATTTGTTTATGCTTACTGAGAAATTACTTTTTAATAAAAGTTAATTTCTATTTATTTCACTAGTGGCTTGCATCTATGACAGAAATTATCCTTTTCAAACATTTTATACACATCTCCCGTCATCGCGTTGTCCGCCCACTCTCCAGCTTGTTTCACGTTCCCAAGAAGATTTTAGGGTCTTCTCGACAAACGATTACTGTCGTAAAGATTATAGTATTTCTTTTTAAACAAAAGACAATTTAATCGACTAAAATAATTTATTTACATAAAATAAATAAAAGATTTGTGCATTATTTAAGAAGACTAATCATGTTCCCTTTTCTTTTTCTTGCTCAGCTACACCATCGAGAGAGATGTTATATGTTATAGCTCCATCATTTCTACAGAACTACGGCGACTGGTGTTGGGTTGCTTTTCGCAATGATGAGGATGTTCTAGATGACATACAAAACAATTGTAGTGTTGAACTCTTAACAGTTTAATAATAAAACTTAGTAATCGTTAGTAGCGTTGAAGAAGATATCAATAACATAAATTAGTTAATATTACTTACATTGACGCCTTTATGCATTAAGTTCGTGGCTTTCAGAGTTAAATATGGAGAGACCATTGGAAATTTTGAAGTGAGAAACCTGCTAAATCAGTTACACCTGCATACCACAGATTTCCCGAATGGTAGCTGAATGTGCTACCGCAAGAGAAGCATGGGGAAATGAGAGTATTCCTTACTAGTAAAATCATTAGCTTAATTGCTAAGAGCATAGTTTTTAATGTTGTAAGTTTTAAAGAGGTCTGTCTAATTGACAGTTTCAGAACGTTCTGTCTTCTTCCTGTGTCTGAGACATTTGCTAACTGAACTTTCAATCATTTTTAACTTTTGTGCTGCATTTTCAAGTCCTCTGATTTCTTATGAAAAACGATATCAAAAATATTACGGAATCATTGGTGGATGGCACCCTTAAATTTGAGCAGTTTCGCTGATACTCTTTACACTGGCTGTGTAGTTATAATTTTTGTAATGCTATGTCGGAATATCAGTGAGAAACTTCTATATAACTTCTAAAGCGTCGGAGTGTGTCGTGTGACACTTCTCATTGCTCATGACTGTTTGGTGTTGGCATTTAGTTTGCAATTTGGGAGACGAACCCTCATTAAGTTTCTTATTTTCGTGTTGCTGTGCCGGCAGAGTCCGCTTGATATTTTTTCTCTCCAAAAGCCTCTGATCATTGTCTCTCTGACATCATAACCCTTTAATCTCAAAAGCTATACACGAAACTATACGACGGAAAGAAAATAGCTGAGGTCGCTGGAATACAATGACATACATAATACATTAATCGACTACCCTTTGAACATATGGCAATATTTACGTAAAAGCAACTTACAATTTACGAGTTATTACTTTATTAGTTA